CCCAGGGCTGCCGCCCGCCTCTGCCAAGGCGCGGGGTGGGGGGGTCTGCACGACATCCGGCTGGGATTTAATAACCGCCCCTCCCGGGGCCTGGATGACCGCCCTCGACACGCGGGGAGTCGTGCCACTCGTGGCAAGGAGGCCAAGGCGCTTTCCAGACACGCGCGGGGCTCTTGAGGCGTGTGCGGGCAAGAGGAGAGAAGGGGTAAGTCGCGGCACAGACCGGCAGACGGCAGGTCGGAGGGGACGCAACCAAAACAATAAAATCCGACGCCTGCTGCTCTCCGTCGCCCCAGCGCAGAAGACAACTAACATGAGTTGGTCTTGCAGCGAGCGTGATGGAGAAGAAAGAGCATCCGAAGGAAATGCACCGAAGTTCCAAGCCATCCCCGGCGGGGGGGTGGGGACAAGGGAGAACATTTACTTGAAACGTAGCTGGATTCCTGGAATTTTTGTGTTGCATAAGAAATTAGCCCTTGGTCTGACATCTTGGTTATAAATATTTTTTCCAGATTGCTCATGTGTGTATTGCCTTGGTGATGTCTCTGGCATGCAAAACTTTTTAATTCCATAGAGTGAAAAAAAAATCCGTCTTTTCTTGAGAGCTGCTGGGTTTCCAGGCGGCCTCAGGACGGTCTCCCAGGCCTGGGCCGCACACGCAGCCTCATACGTCTCTGGCCACGCTGCTATTACTACTTCATGGCTGTAGGGATTGACTCCTCTCAGAATCGATCCCTGCGCCTGGTGGACGGTGGCGTCCACGGCGTCTTCTCCTGAGGGTCAAGGACCAGGCTTCCTCCTCGCTGACCCGACTCGGGCCTCTCCTGAGACAGAGACACTGGCCGGGGGCCGGCGCCCAGGCCGCAGCTGGCCGCCTTGGGAGCACGTGCTAATGTCCAGACGGTCCACTCCCCATCGCTGTTCTTACTTTCACAGTCTCTAGCTCTCCAGGGTCACTTGTTCCTGCAAATGAACTCGCGCTTTTGTTTGAGTGGACATCAACTTAAACAATTTCAAAATCAATTTGTTTTATTATGCAAAAGGAAAAGGAGTCTTTCCTGTCTCTTTCTTGGGTACCAAGATCTCCGATGTGCCAGCTTCCTGAACAGGGAGTGGCTGGGGGTACACCTGGCACTGAGCCCATCCACACAGCCTTCCTGAACTGCCCACAGAGACAGGGGCCTGGGGGGAAGGGGCCCCCAGAAGCCCCACCGCTTCAAAGAAGCCTCAGCAGCCGGCGGCCAGGGAGTGAGCCTCCTGGCCTTTCCCTGGCTGGGAGCAAACAGCTCTGACTAGAGCCCCCCCAACCAGGAGCTCAGAGAACCAGCCATGCCCCGCAGAGAAACCCAGGGAGCGTCCCTCTGCCCGGGGGGGGAGAGCTCAGGACTGCCCGTGGGCGGAGGCCCTTGGGAAGGACAGAGTAAGGAAAATGTCCATGATGCAGATATAAGTAGGGGGCGAGCTCGCAGCTCAGGGTACCCAGAGCTGAGCCCACGACCCTCCGCCATCCACTCTCTGCGGGAGCTGCAGCAGTGGGGCCACCGCGAGGACAGCACCCCCTGGAGGCAACTCCCCTTCCAAATAGGCCTCTCCCTTCTGTATGTGTATTTATGGACATGGGTGCTCACTGCCAGTGCAGGCACGCGCGCGCACACACACACACACACACACACACGCACACACGGGGTCATTGTGTGAGACACAAGGCAAGCAGCAGCCAGCACTGGCGGTGGGAGCTGGCATCTTGCAAGAGCAAAATGAGAGTCACTCTTTCTAAATGTTTTTGCCTCAAACCCAGAAGCTGCTCAACCCTTGCAGTTGCTTAAAAGACGCTGAAGCTTCCCCAGGCCCAGCTCGCCGGGGCCTCCGCCAGCTCATCTCCCATCTGGCGCAGCTCGAGTCCCCAAGGGCACAAGGGCATTGCGTGGGGAGCCTCTGGGCTGCCTTTTCCTTCTGACTTTTTAAAAGTTTGGGGTCCATGTCTCTTGCCAAACGCAGACCCTAACAAAGATGCTTTGCACAGAATTCTGGGATCTAAATACAATTTCAAAAATAATATATTTTCTGACATCCCCCAAGAAAAAAATGACTGGTTTCTCCCTCTAAAAGGATTTAGATGGAATAACATCTGTGTTGAGAATATTGTGAATATGTTAAACTGACAGGCAGTCTCTAAGGCACTCCACTCATTAATGTTCTGTGCATAAAATTAAAACTTGAAATATATTTTTAAATCCATTTTGAATCATTTAAGCAATTCTCCCGCAAAGAAACTATTGTGCTGAAATAATATATTTGGAGCGAGGAATATGAAAGCTATTAAAATGTCTTAGACCCCCTGCCTTTCACAGAAAGAAGGGGGAAAATGTTCTCTTGCTTTGATGTGAAACATGCTCTGTAGAAAATACACCTACCCCCCAAAAAAGAAGACTTAGAAATTATACTAAGGGCTTTACTTCAGCCCACGGAGCCAAAGAACTCAAGGCAGGGGCTTCGTACTTCGGCCTGAGCGTGGGGAGCAGTCCAGCCGGGAGGGCCGGCAAACCCCAAGGAGGGGAGAAGACAGAGGCAGAGGCGGCCTTGGTGTGCTCCTGCCTGGCCCTGGTTTCTGCAGAATCTTCCACGTTCGCTCAGAACACTGGTCAGCCCCGGGTCTCGCGCGCCGGCGGGAGCGTGTGCCCAGAACGCCAGGCGCACGCGGCCTGTCCTCCTCCGTCCACTCGACTCACTCCCCTTCTCACAAATATTCACAGAGGCTCAACCAAGACCCCACCTTGGCTGGAGAAGGCGCGGAAGGCCTCTCCGTGCGCCAGACCACGGGGCCTGGCAGAACCGAGGGGCAGGCAGGGGGCGCCGAGGGGGCTTCGGGGAGCCCTGGCTCTGACACTCACCAGACCCAGCTCGAGCGCCCCCCGACTCTATGAACATCTCTGAGGTGGAAATCAACCTGGAGCTGGCGGACGGCAGCCTTTGGACGACAGCAGGTGGCACCGAGTCCACTCTCAGCAAGAGGCAGGTGCCGGCGTCTGACCTGGCTCTGCAGAGCGCGGACTGGTCGGCGGCAGACAGGGCCGCCCGCCGTGATGCAGGGTCTCGCGCTCCTCCTGTCCATGGCATGGGTAACGAGGCCAGGTCCCTGTGCCGAGCCCTGTCTGAGGGGCGCCCTGTCCAGCCCCACCTGATCAAGCGCGCCTGCCCTGCCGCACCCGTTGTCCAGGGTACGGCTGCTCCTCTGCTGCGTCTCCGCGGCCACTTCTGCTTCATGTGCGTGTCTGGAGGCCCCTCGTGGATCAGCAGGCCTGGTTCAGGTGCACGTGGAGTAGGGGCCCAGTGAGTGTTGGCTGAATGACTGAATGGAATGGCTGGCCCAGCACTCACCGCGAGGAGGAGGAAGGCCAGCGAGCAAGTGCAGGCCGCTGACCCTCACAGGACAGGACACGGGGCCCCTCCTTCTCCCCTTTCTGCCCTTTCTGTGCAGTTTCCTTTGAAACCCTCTGCTGACCCCAGGGGAAGGCCGCAGGCAGCTGGCTGTCCTCCCGTGGCCTAGCCCCACACCTCTAGAATACCAGATCACGGTGGCCTGTGGGCTCGGTTCAGTGTTGCAGCTGAAGCTGCCGCAGGCCTTCCGGGGCAACCCTGTCCTTCAGGCGCCCAAACACATGCATCCCCCACCAGGACCCCTCGGCCCAGAGGCCTCGTGCAGACTGTGAGGCCCCAGCACCCTCTGCGCTCAGCCCGGAGAGCTGGGCACCCAGCACCTTCCATCATGAGACCGTGGGCGCCACCATGCCAGGAGCCACAGCTGGCTCCCCCCTCGCTTTCAAGTTGACTTTTCCTTGCACCTCCCAGGAGCCGGCACGAGAGGAAGGCGTGGGGAAGAGAGGGGGCAAGCTGGACACGCTGCCCTGGGCCTGCAGCATCGCATCCTCGGGGCCTTAATTGATCCTCAGTGCCAGGGAGAGCAGGGTCCGGCCGCCTCCAGGTGCTGGGCGAGGCACCGACTTCCTCCTTCTTCCTTGAGACCCAGAAAAGATAATTGCTGTTGAGGTACGCGGAGTGCAGACTCTGCAGAGAGGAGAGTTCTTTGACTACAGAGCGCATAATGGGTGTGCAAAGACTAGAACTTCTGTGTGCCTTGAGCTGAAGCTCGGGTGAGCCATCAAACACCTTCCCTGCAAATTGGCGCTTTCAGCTCCAGCTTCGCGCCTCGGTAGCGCAGTCGAGGTACTCATCAGGCGCGCTACGGCAGAGGCTGGCTGGCTGGCAGGAGCCCGGCCCAGCACAAAGCCTTCTCTGGCTTAAAAAAAAAATCATAAAATAAAAAAGAAAACTGTTTAAGCTTAAAAAACTAAAAAGAAGCAGTTGGCTCCAGTTGTCGAAATGTTTCATAAAGCAACAGCAAGATGAAAAAAGGAAAAATAAACTGTCCAGAACGCAGAGAGAGGGCCAGAAACACTCAGCCGCGGGAACACGGCAGACCCCGTGCGGGCTGTGGACACTGTCTTCATCCCCACAGCCAGCCAGGAAGGCAGGCAGCCCTGTGCCCCCCGCGGCGCCTCCTGCTTGAAATCTACGTGATACTTTTTCAAAAAAAAACAAACCAAGCGTTAGGTGCAGACATGGTGTTGGTCAGAGGCGCACGAATGTCTTCTTTCAAGTATGGGGGGCTCCCCTGGAGGCAGCAGAGGAGGAGGGGAAATAGATGGATTGGGGAAAACAGGCTGTCGGCACTAAAAAACGAATTAGACCCTCATGGGTGCAAATGTACGAGACGCCAGGTAGCCAGGGAGGGGTTCCCTCCAGAGGCACGCAGGGGTCCGGGGAGGCGTGGCTGCCCAGCTCGCCTTCATGTCCCATCAACACCAAGTAGCTTCTTCGAGAAAGTCTAGTCTGTGGATCTGCGCCACGAAATCCAACCTGGACGCGGCATCCTGCGCTGGCGTTGCTGGATCTGGCAAGGACGCTGGGGTGGGGGGCGGCAACACCCCTGCACAGGAGATGCTCCCCCCACCCACGCCCCACTCTGTCCACGGTGGGCCCAAGCCGGTCCACACCCGTCAGGCAAGGGAGAGTCCACAGCGAGGTTGGGAGCTGGCGTCTCAGGGTCTGCGTGATTGCGGCCCCTCTCAGCTCCAGCCACCCGGGAACACAGGGGGTCCTGAGAGCTCTCCCCGAGAGCCCTCTTTGTGGGAAGATGAGGCCGGAACTTGCTCCCTATCATTCGCTTAGATGGAAGCCCGCCACACAGCCTCAGCCACTTGAAGACTGTCCAGAGAGAAAGGGGCACCCTCATCAGAGGAAGGAAGACCAACAAATGCTGACCACCCCCCCATCTTCCTGCAGCCCTGAGCCCTAAGCACCTGCTGAGCCCGAGTCTGTGGTGATGGGGGGTCTTTTGAGGTTTGTTCAGACCCTTGATCTTCCACCAACTGTCACGGCCAGCTTTCCCTTCTGCAGAGTGGTCACACAGGAGTCCCTCCTCCCTGGAATCAGAGAACGGGCACGAGTGGCAAACTCTTATTCCTCCATCCCACTTGCTCCTCAGTTCCTCTGCCTCCTCTGGGGTTGGCTCTGGGGCACACATCCTACCGTTATTGCATCTTATCAGGCTGCATTGTCATCTGTTGCATGCCGTCTTCATCCCCCTGGACCGGGCCCCTGGGGACAGCGTGCGCACCTGTCCCCTTCTGTACCTAACCTCGATTTCCAGGGAACTGGCCTCCTTTCTCTTCTTCAATCACCCCAAGCTGCTGCCACCACCTCAGACCTTTGCCCTGTGCCACCCCCACTCTACTGAAAACTCTTCCAGCCCCCAGCATGTGTCCCTCCTGCAGCCCTTCTCTGCTCAAACCTCTGCGGGAAGTCTTCCTGGCCGCTGCTTAAATATCACCGGCCCTGGCCCTGGCCCCTCAGCCTCACGCCCTGGTTTTACCCTCTTCAGAGCCTGCGTCTCTCCCGTGTGCTTTTGTTTCTTGCTAGCTGGCTGCCCGCCCCCGGGGTGTGTCTGCTGGGGAATGACTGTCTCCGCCACACTCCTGCAGGGTGCAGGGTCCCAGGCAGCGAAGAGGCCCTCCGCAAACACATGTGCATGAACGAACCCGCTCTGCCTCGCACAGACAGTAACGCACTTTCTTCTTAATTAATCATTGCAACAGAATCACCGTGGACGCTCCCCCTGGGGGGTGGCAGATTTTGGCCTGGCTAAGAGGAAGATCTTCCTCCCTTCCTAGCCTCCCGCTCTCTGTGGCATTTCCCAGGACAACCTCCCTCCCGTTGGGAATGGAGATCTCAGCGAAAGGCCCTGCCAGGGGAGCTGCTCAGACACTGCAACCCAGCCAGCCCTGATGCGGGCGCCCCGCCCTCGTGGGTTCAGGCATTCAGCTCCAATTCCACCACCGCCACCATCCCCCCCGCCTGCCCATCACCGCTGCAGCTGAGCAGGCAGTTGGGACCACCCCAGTTGTGGCTGGGCCTCCGCCAGCATTTCCAACAGCCGAGAAGAGCACCATGTTCCTGGTGTGGGCACGTCACTAGGAGAGCCAGGCACGGCCTCCACCAAAGCGCTAAGCCTCCATCCTGCTGCTGAGACTCAGGGCAGAGGTCAGGGGCTGGGAGGGGCAGAGACAGGCCAGGGAGAATCAGACACCCAGCTGGAGGGCGGAAGCACCTGGGCTCCCCAGAGGGGCGCGCGGGGTACCATGGGGATACCTGTGTTTGGCGGAAGCTCCTGCCTCCATCTCCCACCCCCACACACACTCATGGCTCCGGGCACCAGGGCAGTCCCCGGCCCTGGGCAGTTGGCCTGCTCGCTGTTGCTCACGCTCCAGGGGGTCAGCATTTTTTGGTCTTAGCTTAGGACAAGCTGCTGTGTGGAAGGCTGGCGGTGAGAGTCAATGTGTCAGTCAACAAACATGCCGCCAGCACCCCCATGGTGGGGGCTGATACTGAGCAGCACAGACAGGAGCGAGGCGCACGAGTCTGGCGAGACAGCGCCTGTGGATTTCACCTGGGGGTCTGGGGAGGAGGGGTGTCGGAAGGACGAGCAGAGCCCCCCCTGCCTGGGCAGTCAAGGTCCTGCAGCCCGCTGGCCCTGGCGGAATCTCCAGCCCGGAGCCGGCACGGAGTGGGGCTGTGTCCAGCAGGCCCTGCAGGGGCCAGATACGTGAGAGACGGGGTTCACCTAGTGGAGAGAGGTCGCCGAGGAGGGTGGGTGGCCCCGGCGGGTGTCACACACCTGTCGTGTGTGTGCTTGCGTTTTGTAGGGAGCGCGGGTGTTCAACAGAGGTTCCCCGAAGTTTCGCAGAGGGGGAGGCTGGTGCAGCCGGGACCAGGGGGCAAGAGGGGGGTGGGGGGGTGGGGGGGTGGGCGAGCGATTGGCGGCAGCAGCAGAGCCTGGCAGAGGCACCGGGTCCAACCGGCCCCATCCCCGCCAGGTGTGGCACTGCCTCCGCCTCCGCGTCCTGCGTTGCTTGGCAACCAGTTTCCCGGACAACGCGGGACGCAGAGCCCAGGGCCCGAGCGCACCCGGCGGCAGACCCAGGCCCCGCCATGGCCCAGAGGGCGCTCAGCACCGCGGCGGCGGAGCGCATGAACCTGGTGGCCCAGGACGCGATCTGGTAACGACCCGCTAACCCGGTGGGCTGCGCCAGACCCCCCGAAGTTGCCCGCCCCACCCGACCAAGTGGTCGGCCCCTGGGCGCTGGGAGCCTGCGCTGGGGTGGCCGGGGGACCTGAGGAAAGGGGACCTGTTGGGGACCCCAGGAGTCAGTGCTCTCGAGAGCTTGTGCCTCTGGCTCCGCGGCCCTCTGCAAAGCTGCCCTGCGGGGGAGTCCACTAGTGCGTGCTCATTTGTAAGCTTGATTGAATCTTTTATAAGAAACCAAAAATCTTAATATTTGTTCAATTTGAATGAGAAAGGTGTGTGCACTTTACAGACTCGATTTTCCTGGTTGTTGGTTTTTTTAAGTCATAAGAAATAGATCCATTTTCTAAAAGATTTATCTGCCGCAGACACTGGTAAGGGATGTTTGTATTTGGCATTCGATCGAATCGCTAAATATTATCCCATCTCTTTGAAGTTCCCTCCAACATGAGAAGTACTGACCTAGATGCAAGAGAGTCAGTCAACTGGAGTAGCAATAAGCACCGCTGCCCACCTCTCTCACCTCCGCCACCCCGCCTGCCATCTGTGACCGCTGACATTCCTGCAAAATCTGTGTTAGTCACTTCATATTTTTCTTGAAACTGACTTTGCTTCACTTAATACACTTAACTTCGTAGGAAACTTTGTTACTCCCGTAAATGGAAAGCGAGTATTATTTGGCATAAAATACACAAACAATAACTTTTTAAATCATTATCTTGGTCCATGCACCCCCAAGAGGAAATAGCAGGGGGCCTCCCCGGTGGCGCAGCAGTTGAGCACTGGGTTGCGAAGCTGCCCGCAGCCTCTGCAGTGCCGGTTCGATCCCCGGCTGCTCCCCGGCCACCAGAGGAGGGTCCCACATGGCGCGCAGACCTCTCCTGCCGCCCGCTGCTCCCCTCAGCAGTGTGCTTCGGTCCTTCTGCCTGCTCTGCTCCCCGCTCTGGCTCTGGTGAATCCTCTCACCCTCCCGCGCTTCTGACTGTACCCAGTGCATGTATGTATGTATGTATCAATCAATCAATCAATCAATAAATAAATCTTAAAAAAAAAAAAAAGAGGAAATAGCAGGTCTGTTCCCTCTGTCCGGAGTGCTCCTTCCTCCCTTCTCCACCAGGCAATCTCCTCCCCTCCCTGAAAGACCCCAGGCAGACGTCTCCTGCATGGCAGGCGCTGGTGAGGCCCTAGGTCTCTCAGCCGATGTCCAGAGGGAACCGGTACAAATTGCCGTGGTGTGTAATATAGACTACACACCAGATTTCATAAACTTCATACCCCAAAAAAAGTGACATTAAAATTAAATTGACCTATTTATTTTGACCTTTCTTAAAATGTGGTGATCAGAAAATTTTGAATCGCACCTGTGGCTCATATTTGCAGCTCATGTGGACAATAGGCTGATTTACAAGCTCAGCACCCAGGGGCTCCAAACAGCCGGGGCAGGAGGAACAGATATTGATTCCAAAATAGGAAATGTTGAAAGTCAAAATGAATAAATGTTTAATTAGATGTTTGCAAAATCTGACCCACAAGCTCTTCAACTGGCAACTCAGCTCATAGGTCGTTAGATGAAAGTTGTGCTTAATGTGGAATAAAAGAAAAGCAGGGCTAGGGGACTGGGGGAGAGGCCAAGCTAGGCCCCTGGGGCAGTGTTTAAGGGGGGGGTCCCCTCTCAAGGTCATGCCTTGCTGGTTCTGAGTTTACAGGAAACTCAAACCTCCTTAAATTTTGCTTCCTCGGGGCCTCACCAGCCCAGGCCCCAGCTCTGTGAACAGAGGTACTTTAACACATGCCCACTGCGGGGGTCACAGGGGCCTCCAAAATAAGGGATGGAGCCCATTCAGCCCCCATCGTATCCTGTCTGCTCCCTACTGGGCCAGCCAGCATGGGCCTCTACAGACACCTGTCTCCCTCACAGATGATCTCCTGGCCCACGGAAACCCGGGCCTTGGAGAATCATCACTCAGTCAATCAAGGCACATGGACACTGATGATAAAGAGTCTCTCCCAGGCCTCTAGGGGGGTCTCCCTGAACCTCTTTCATGTGCTGCCCAGCACTTAGGTCCTTTCTTTTTCAGGAGATACCGCTTGAAGGCTGAAAATGAAGCTCGGCAAAACTGGGGCCCGAACTGGGGATTTTTAACAACCCCCCTCGAGGAGGTAACTATAGATTTTATGACCCCTGAGGTTATGGAATCAATCATTTCAAAGCATAAACAGTTAGTATATAATTTGCAAGAATAAAATGAAAGCGTGTGCTGCAGGAGGAGACTGCCAGCCGAAGCCACGTTCCTCCCTGCCACAGGTTCAAGGAGCCTTGCGTGGCCAGCCACGTCTAGAAGTTTCCTTCCAATCAGCTCATTGACTCCACACGGCCACCCCTGTGCCAAGGATGGGGCTGGTTTACGTTTATTTTACAAATTAGGAGATTAATGGAGCTGGAGGTGCAGAGCTGGAGCTAATGAAGGGAAGGAGAGGGGGTAGCTGGTCTGACTTCCCGTGGGAAAATGTGGGTAACAGAAGCGGGAGAAAGGGCCGGGTGTAACTAAAATGGGGCTGGGAGGGACCCCTCTGGGCCTGCCAGCTGAGTGCTACCAGGCAGAGAAGCTAAGTATTCTGATTATCCAAGAGAGTCCAAACATCCAAGTGTGGGGATGAAACCTTTGAGAACAGCGGGCCAGAATTCTCTGACGTGACACCGTGCAGGCCCAGATGCTGGTGTCGGCTCCAGCGGGAAGCTGGCCTTTCCAACGACCCTGGTGGCTCCAAGGAGCCGCATTTGGAGGAAAATAGAACCGCATAGAAACCACATGGTTCCCCACTTTCGAGAGTTAAGGCAGTGTGAACCCCATTTGTGATTCACCCCATCCCACCAGCTTTAGAGCTATGCCATTCTTAATGATTCTTTTTAATACTTAGAGAGTTATACAATTTGAAATTTTATGCATAAAATGAGTCCTTATTAATATAATATGCATAAAGGAGTCTATATTAATATTCTTCATATGTAATAAAGTTGGGTTTTTGAAGAGTTCAAAATTGCTTTAAAAATTAAAGGGGGGGAAGGGACGCTCCTCTTATGTTTTAAAGATGGGTCCTGGAAGCTTGTTGGCATTTTTAATCCAAGTCCATAACCTGCAACGCTTTCTCCCGTCACGCTCGGGGGTGTCAGTGCCAGGGCTCCCTGAGCAGGGGTGGCTCGGCCCTTGCCTGACGGCCTAAGAGCAGACCCCGTGCAGCCACTTTCTGTGACCGGGACGAGCTACCGACAGCTTCGGAGCCCTGATTTTGACCGTGAAAGAGGCAGGAACCTGGGTCCCCTGCCCGGCCCTGGCCCGGGGTGCCCATCTCTGGGGATTCTGTTTCAGCTGGTCAAGAGCCAGGAGGAGCCGTCGGCCGCAAAGCCCAGGATCGAGCTTCCTGAGCGGTTCCGCATCCGGCCCGTGACCCCGGTGGAGAAGTACATCCAGGTGGGCAAGTCGCTGTCAGCCCGAATCCCTAAGAAACAACCCCCGGGAACCGTCCGCGCAGGTGCATGGAGCCGAGGGAAACGTAGCCTCCGGGACACGTGTGCTCCCGTGTCACTGCGGCGTGTGTGTCTGTGTGCATGTGTCTGTGTGCACATGTGTGTGTCTGTGTGTGCGCGCGCGCATGTGTGTGTGCATGTGTGTAAGGTGGGGTGTCTTTAGAGAAATGCCGAAGGGTAGATTTCAGGTCCTAGAGTGTTTGCATTTTCTCTTTCCGGGAAGACCTGCGGCTCCCCACGCAGGCACGCCCTCGCCACCGCCTCAACAGTTGTCGCCTTGCAGTCTCATGGGTGAACCCGGCACCCCAGAGTGGGTCCCTTACAAGTCAGAGAGAGACTCGGAAGCTGGCCCGTGTGTTCCGGGGCTTCCACACACCGCAGGCAGACGGCCCCTCCGCCTCTGTCTACAGCAAGCTTCGCCCACCCCGCACCCCGCCACCCGGGCATTTGTGGAGGTGCCTCCTCCGCAGCCTCTCGGGAGGTGAATTTTAATTCTTCTCCAAGAACATATGTTGGCTTCACCCCCAGCGGCAGCGGCCCCTCCGACCCCACCTGCTCGAGACCCCTTCTGCTTGGTGGGAATCACACCCAAGCACACATAGCTCTTTCTCCCAGTTCTTCTAGAACAAATGCGCCTCGCTGTCGTCCTCCAGATCGCTCTGGGGGTGCAGAGAAGAGGAAGGTTTCAGATGAAGGGAGGCAAATGCCTTAACATCCCCCTCCGGGTTCGAAACCTTCCAGACGTCAAGGACTCCGAGAGGGGGTGTTCTCTCGCTCCAGACAGACTCCTGTTCTCCTTTCGGCTTTTTGCTAAATTCCTCTGCTTTCCACTCCTGGGGTCCCCCCAGTTTAAGCGGGGGTGTGTGTCTGCGCGAGTGGGCGTCTGCGCATGCACGTGTGTCTGCGCGTGTGGTGCAGGTGTGTCAGGGTGTGCGCACGCCACAAGCCTCCGATCAGACCCGGGAGCCCGAGGTGCCAGATGCCTCCAGCCATCACGTCATCGGTTCCCTGAGGAGCCGCAGAAGCTGGCGTCTGACCTTCCTGCACCTCACTTTTTCTCCCACCTTTCTTTTGCCAAACAAAAACTATATTCCCGGAGTTCAGGGATTCAGCGTGCGCAGCGTCACAAGATGAAGACGCCGGTCTGTGCCGGGACTCCCCGGGAGGGCGTGAGGCACGACGCCCGGCTGCCGGGAAGCCCTGACTTCACCCCTTACTGAGGCCCGGCTCCGTCTCTTCCCCTCCTGATGCCCCGTGGACACGGCACCGTGGCCCAACCTAAACCACCTCCTGCACTTCCCTTCCAGGTCCTCCCATCGCCCCCTGTCCCGAAGACCACCCAGGGCTTCATCGGCTGGAGGTCCGGGGTGCCGGGCCTGAACAAGCATCTGGAGCATGATTACGAGATCAGAAGCTGCAAAGGGGCGTACGCCCGAGAGCTGAGGTGGCCGAAGCAAGGCATCTACTGAGCGCAGGCGGAGTCCCGGCCTGGGCGGCCGTCAGCAACCCCAGCCCCTGCAGCTGCCGGCCAAGAAGGACTCCAGCGTCCCCAGGAGACGTCGATCCCCCCCACACCCGCCCCTGGGGTGCTGCAAAGAACTGGGGCTACCCCTTCCGTGTTTTCAGCTCACCCCTGCCTCTCCTCTGGGACAGCCTCGCAACAGTCTTACTAATGTGATGACTAAGGCAAAGTAGACTCTGCTTTTTTTTTTTTCAATATCTTGGAATTTCTAGGTATGTTTTTTGTGCTGTTTCTTTTTTAAAGTGATTTAATTTTTAAAATATTTATCGAGGCCTCCCTCTCGCTCTCCCTGTTTATAATGAGGTTGTTGACCAGGCGTGTCTGTAGCCAGGTGTCCCAGGCAGGCTTGCAGGGGGAATAAAGCTTTTAGAGCAACCCCGTCTCTCCTTTCCCAGGATAGCCACAATAAGGCAAAGCTTTCAAGGCAGAAATGAGCCCAAGTTTTGCCACAAAGAGCTGATTTCCAGGAGAGGTCGGGATTCCCAAGTGGGCCCCCACGTACTGCCCCACCCCACCCCACCGGAGGGTGCCAGGAGGCAGAGCCAGCATGGCCTCCAGCCCCTCCAGCTGGACCCAAAAAGCAGGAGGGCAGGGAGTTCACAGGGCCCTATGGGGCCCAGATCTGAGCAGGGGGACCTTCTTCACGCCCGGAGTGGGCAGAGCAGGGGGCTCACGGGCCTGTCGTCGCGGGCACGCACCCCTCCCTAGGAGGGTCGAATGTCAGGGTCTCAGGTTCCTTCCTGCGTTTACTTGACGGGGCCCGGGGGGGCTTCCGCCTGGTGACTCCACCAACAGGGTCCACCCCCAGCCTGGGAGAGACGAGACAGAGGAGGAATATTCTGGGGCCCCACCTAATCCCTCTAACTGATGCCCACGCTCATCCCGGCCACACGGGCCACGGCCAATGGCGCCCCGTGGTCATCATGGCTGACAAGGCACCTGTCACCCCAGACCACACTTTCAGAGGAGAAAGTCACGGCTCTTTAGGTTCTGAGCAAAAGAAGTTTCAACCGTGTCCCCCGTAAGCTGCATGGAAGCCTGAAGTCCCCGTACCTGGGAAATGAGCTTCTTTAGACACAGGGTCAGTGGCGGTAACTAGGTCCATGGAACGAGGTCCTACTGGAGCCGGGTAGGTTCTTAACCCAAAGTGACTGTCACCTTACACAGGCGCCGGGGCGGAAATCAGCCCACGCCCATGTGCCAAGGAAGGCCAGGAACTGCCTGCCCAGGGCGAGGAGGAGGCCAGGCAGGGCACTCACAGGAGGCGGGGAGCACGGGCTGCTACGCTGTGGCTGTGGACTCTGGGACGCCAAGATGCTGACGGGATAAACATCTGTGGCTTGAGGCTGCCCTGTCTGTGGTCCTCTGGGCCGGCCGCCCGGGAGACGACGCAGCGTGGACGTGTCTGCTGCCTCCCCTGCGCCTGTGCGTGCGGCGTCTCAACCAGGACAAAGCAGCAGGAACCTGGGTCACGTGCCCATTCGAGCCAAAGATGTTTCCAATCACCCAGATGTTCAGCCTGATGTAGACTAAACAATGGGAGGTTTGGCCAAGCCCGACCCTTATAAATCCTACTGTTTTGACAGCTCGGGTGGCTGCGGGTGAGGCATCTACCCTTGAAGAAACCCAGGTCCCTGGCTGCGATCAGATGCACCCCCAGGCTGAGCCGGGGAGGAGCAGAGGCCTCCGGGGACCAGCTGGCGGGGCGCAGGTCGCGTTTCCGGCGCTTCCCAGGGCGCACACCTGTGTTCCCGGAGGCCCTGCCGGCCATGTGGTGCTTTTTGTTCTAACTGCTGGTCACAGCACGAGCCGAGAGCTGCCCCACCCTCCGTGTGCCCACAGGAGTTGGGCAACAAACGATCTAGAAAAAAGATGGTCTCCCCTGGTCTGTCTTGAGCCTGAGCCTGGACAGGAACTGGACGGTTCTGCTTCTGAAACTTGAGGGCGGTTAACTGCGATGCTGATTTTCACTGGCGGGTCTATGGTGACCGACAGCCCCGGTCACTGTGTCTGGAAATGACCAGGGCAGAGCTGAGGGGCCACATACTATGGGAACAGCCGAACCTCCAAAAAGACCAGAAGTGTCTCTTGTAAGGGGTTTCCGAGACTCTTGCCCTCACGTCCACTACGTGCCGGATGGGACACGGGACGTTAATGCCCACGTGAGAGCCACTGGACCCAGCCCCTTGGAAAGTGAAAATGCAAGTCTCAGCCCAGCTCCGTGCACTGCCGGTGGGAACGTGACCTGCGGGAGCAGCTTCCGGGTAAGACAAGGTTCCTGGAAAGTCCCACGGGGAAGCTGTCGAGATGCAGTGACCCCGCTCTGGGCATCCAGCTGAGGGGAACGAGGCCTTCTTAAAAGTATTCTATTTAGGTCATCCCTGGTGGCACAGCGTTAAGACTCAACCTATGAGGCTGTCCACAGCCACTGCAGCACGAGTTCAATCCCCAGCCAGGGAGCTACCCACCCGGCGCAGCAGACCTCTCCTGTCACCCCGCTGCTCCCCTCAGCAGTGGATTTCGGTCAGTCTGCCTGTTCTGCTCCCCACTCTGTCTCTGGTGAATCCTCTCACCCCCCGCACCTCTGGCCTGTACCCCAGCTCTTGTATGTATAAATAAATAAATCTTTTAAAAAAAAAGTATTCTATTTAAAACACGAAAACAGGGGTCCTTTTCCACCCTTTCAGACTTGCCAACGCCTAGATGGGTAGTTTCATGAACTGGCGTCTCAGAAGCCTCCGTGGGTGGGGCTGTTCTGTCTCTAATAATCTACCCACCAACTAACCACGTGTGCTTTTATTTTGAAAAATTGAAAATGAGCAACATTTCTGCGGATATCAACTTCCACAACAGGCCCCTCCCCATCGCCCAACTCCCCGCTGGATACAAGCTGCGCCCCTGGGCAGCGATGGGGCCCAGGGGCCCAGTCAACGGCCTCCGCAGAGAATCGAAATGGACAGCACTGGAGGATTCAATTACCCTGGAGGGTTTCAGACCTGACATTTAATCCATGGAATCAACCTCTTGGTGGGTGTCCAAGTGGGCTCATAAATGTCACCGCACGCTGCAAAATACCACAACATCCCCAAGGTCGCGTCAAGACCGGGGACCTGTGTCCACGGTGCGGGCATACACCGCAGCAGCGACCCTGGCCCCAGGCCACGGAGTAGGCTCCGCAGGGATGCAGACACCACCGGCGCGGGCTCAGGTGGACCCGTCACAAGCGCGTCACAGCCCCAGATGGGCAGAGACTCCGTGGGTGCGTTAGAAGAGAGTGACAGGACCCGGGAAATCAACCCCAGAGCTCTCGCTCTGACACATTCAAAGGGACCCAGCTGGGACTGTCCCCGGGATCCCGGGCACCAAGGGCCCACGCCAGGTGTATTGGGGACGGAGAGCTCTGTGGGTTGAGAGGACGCGGGTGGTGCATCTCCCCTGAGCATGGGGCAGCCCCGGGTTCAGGCCGCCCGTGTTTCTGTAGCAGACCTGCTGGGGGTCCACACCACAGGGCGCAGGACTCTTGGGGTCTCGTCACTTCGGTTCAGGTTTTGCCCCCAGTGAGTTTTGGTTTCAAACCAATACAAGTATTTTGGGATTGACTGTACGGGATTTGGAACCGGTAAGAGATTTTTGGTCATAAAGTACTGTCACCATGTCCCAGATTAGGTCACACAAGGCGGTGACTTCTGTCTTGCAGCTTCCCGCTCAGCCCTCCGTCCCCAGCTCCCTCCCGCTCCCTTGCTGGGGTGAAGCCCACTCAAGTCAGAAGGTGCTCTTTGCAGACCAGGTGACGAGAAGTGGGGTGCACCCTGCGCCGGGGCTCTCGAGGACCCGAGGTCCTCATCCCTCAGGGCTGGCCCTTCCCAGGGTGCCTGAGGCCCCAAGCCAGGGGCCTGGCTAAGCTCACAGCTGGCGTGTTAGGTCACGAGTCTTCGTTATGCAGCCCGAATAACCAACACAGGCGATTTCCAGACACCAAACCCGCACGCCCGATCTCCAGCATTTCCAGGCAACCCCAGAAAATTCTGCACAGGCTCTGAGGAGCTCCCAGATACAGGGACCTTCCCCCCACCTGCACATCATTGACTTTACCTGCCCCTTGGCTGGGAAACACCTGGAAACATCCTTCAGGGAGCTCTTCCTTAATTTGTCGCAGGTGCTGGTCGGCGGCCCACACGCCTCGTGTCATTTCAGTTTGGGGACAAAGCCAGAAAAGTCATTCACAGCCCCTCTAACCCTCGATGGCCACAGAGACCCACCAAGGGCTGGGTGTGCCGAGTCAGCAGGGCAGTGAGGCAGCCAGGCAGGTGCCCCAGGCAGGGGCTCCAGAGTCAGGCTCAGGGGCGAGGCCCTAGGGCCAGAGCGCTGCTCCTTGGGGTGGGCCAGGACTCAGCGCAGCCTCACAGGGGTGGCGGAGGGTTCGTGGGGGTGGGGATGGGAAGAGCTTGGTAGGGCACAGATACCAGGAAAACAATGTCAGTTTTATCCTTCACGGCAAAGGGACAGATTCTTCAGAAATGGGGTGAAGATGAAACGAGGCACAGGAGATAAAGTCTCCGGGAAAGCGCTGGCCTGGACACCCCCAGGGGCGGCCTGTACGGCCGCTGTTCACGGAAGGGGCTCTGCCTCCAGCCAGCTGGGCTGCCTCCCGCTTTTCATTGAAGGCCACGTCCGAGAGCAGGCCGGGGCCAGGGCAGGAGGAAGCGGGGTGGGTGCGATCGATCACAAATCACAACCAGTGCGAGTCCCCCAGCCCTGTGACTGTCTTCCAGGGCCGCTTGGTCCAGCTCTAAACGTGGAGCCTCAGTCAGGACTTCCCGGTCGCGGGGCAGCTCCTTGTGGGCGGCAGCCAGGCCAGGCTTGCGCAGGGGAGACGACCCCGGGGTTAGCAGGCCGCGCTCCTCACGGGCGGGCCGTGACTCTGACGAGACGATGCCAGTGAGCTGCCCTGGAGTCCCAGGCGCGGAGAGGAGTCTGCGCCCCCGAGAAACTGGGCACGAGTGTAAGCAACTGTTTGCTGTGTTTGTGGGTGGGCGTGATTGATCGGTTCACCGCGCCGGGAGTTCTCTCTTAATGAGGAAATAAATCTTGCTTCTGGATGTCGGACCGGAACATCCCCACGAGCGCACGCATGAGTGTCGATCCCGGCAGAGCCGAGCGCGGAGCCAGCCCCCAGCCTATCTGTGCCCCCCCTCTTTGGAAGGTCAGTTCAGGGAGCCCACCTGCCCCCCACCCCAGCAACCCTTGCCTTATGAGCTGTAAAATATTCCCGACCCTCTGGTGAGCTAGGTGCCCGCGGCCCCTACCTGGGACTGCACCGGGGACAGGCCCCCATCCCCACAGGTTGTGGACCCACTGCCCAC